TACAGATTTCAAAGTTCTACAATAAACGTTTTTTGATTTAATGATCCCGTAGGACAACAACAATAAAGGCTTTAACTCAATACAATGTTGGAGGTATTGCTCTAGACGCTGAAATAAATCATACTAACAAAATTGACAAATATCGTTTTTAGTTTGTTCTATTTTGTCGATTCTAACATATTTCATTCATTATCGTAAGTAAATCGTTAAATCGGCAAGAATCGAAGAATAAGACGTTTTAAAGTTAATTCCCATAGGCGAAAATGCAAAATTTAAGCATTAATTACTCAAGCGTCTTCTCCGATATATACCGGGATAGGTATTTCTACAGGAATACCTCTTTACTTCACCATTTAGAAAGGATCGGGTACCAAACTTTTATCTAAATATCAAAATGGAACGCTTGGAAACCAACGTTTTCTGATCATCATTTCGCACTTAAGATGCACAATCATGTAAAATATTTCTGAATTTTCAATTTTCGAACAGAATAAAGAAATGAAAAAAGATGCCAGATATTTACGATTACAAAAGCAGAGTATATATAATCACAGATTTGCCAGGTACTTACAATGAGAGGTTTTAACACAGAAAATAAACATTTTGTTACATCTGAACTAAAATCGGTTTGAGATTATGTTGGCTTGATAAACAACCCACAATTTAATATATAATTCGATGTGCTAGAATATATTTGGATTCTTTTAGTAAATTTTATAATATTATCGTACTTTACCTTTGAATTGACGGATTTTCTACACAAATTGGTCCGAGTGGGAGCATTCAGCATGCGCGCGATGACGAAGTTTACTACCATTGTATTAGATATGTAAATATGGCGAGCGATTACCAGAAGAAACAATGCAAATTGAATGTAGATTTACGTTTTGTTTAAAAAGGAGAGAATATGAAATTTTAAATAGTGAGCAATAAATGTTTAACATCAGTAAGAAATTGTATATAAATGATGATTAAATAATATATTTGACAATCATTATAGGATACGTAATACTCTTGTACATAATTCTCGAACAACGGAGTGAGCGAATGATATAAAAAGGTTTAGTCTCTAATTCAATGCAAACAGCTTTTATGAAACAAACAAAAAAAAAAAACACACACACAAAGAAAACCTTAACAACTTATCAAATTGGCCTTGGTTTTACAAACAAATAACAGTTGTGATAAGAAGAGATGGATTTAGAAGAACCTCCGCATTAGTTAAATGGAAGTCGGATTTCTGAAGCCAATTTTAAAATCCACATACAAATAGAAAACATAATGTTGTAATCAATTATTTCTTAACAGTTCATTTGACTCTCAATGTAAGTTGTTTATTTTATATACTAATTGTCATTTTAAATTTACAAACAAAATACTTAGAATATTATTATTTAAGCAAAACGAATTTTGAAAAGGAAGTTAATAAATGAGAAAAAAAAAACATACATAAACACGCAATTGAAAATACGGAAAAAACAAACATAATAAAATCACGCGAGTAACCATTTTTATGTAAAAAAGGCGGTACATTCAATAGAATAATCAATGAGGTTATCAATATCGAGAAAATAAAAAAAATAAATGAAATACGTTTCGAATATGTGTTCCTAAATGAACATGTCGGGTTTCAGTAAATGAACTCAATTCCTTGAAAATACGGAAAAAACAAACATAATAAAATCACGCGAGTATTCATTTTTATGTAAAAAATGCGGTACATTCAATAGAATAATCAATGAGGTTATCAATATCGAGAAAATAAAAAAATAAATGAAATACGTTTCGAATATGTGTTCCTTAATGAACATGTCGGGTTTCAGTAAATGAACTCAATTCCTTACACTAACAACTACGCAGTCGGTAGACGATTATATTTATAGATACTTAATAAATATGCAAAACTATGTAAATTATAAGCAGACAATCAATTGAAGGAATTGAACATCATAAATTGAGAGTATCTGATAAATTCGTTTCTTTGTGTGCTTTTCATGTAAACATAGTAAACTTACAGGATCGTGGCCGTTATTAGTGGTCTCGTTATTTTAGACAATATTTATAACTCATTAAGTTATTGCGTAAACAACTTAATAGTTCTTAATATATAAAATTAGCTGTTCTTTAGAATATGTATTGAGATGTAAACGAATTGTCAAATTTATTTTGTGTTCAATAGAATTATAATATTTCAGCAATTTAACTAGAGACTTAGACAGTTGACGAACTGTCCTGTATATTTTGCTTCAGAGATATCATATACGTTTTATTGTGAAACCATCAATGAAACATAATTTTAGAATGTCAAGAACTATCCTTTACAATTGTTATAGACTGGCCGATAAAATTTCCATATTTCAATTTGTAATTTAAAATGATCGATTATATTTTTTGTCTTATATATTTATTTCTTTCCTGTAAATTTGAAAGAAAATCAAACTGTTTTTAGACGGTCTTTGACCAATAAAGCTTATCTTCGCTTGACGCACCATTTATTGACGTAATCTTAATTGACTTTGGTACAATCGTTTTACAATGTTAAAACTTTATATTCTATTTTTCTGTAAATTGCGTGTGTGTGATTAAATTATGCAAAGGTTAATCAGGAAATCTACTGGACCGATACTGGCAAAGAGACAACATCTCTATTATTTAAATCCCTCCAGTGTCTAGTACGTCACTCTTAATCATGTGTAACATGTCATTTGGGACATGACTTGCTTAAAATGTATTATTCATTTGTTTTCTCTCTAACTAAACAATTTATTTTGTTATGCTCATTAAAATTTATTAGTCTAATATCTGGTTATATTATTCTGTTAACCGGGTTTACAAACAGACTTGCTGAACATATCATTGATTTATTTATGAACGTATATGTCATGTTAATTTCATTTATGCAATTTGTGACTATTCACTGAATTGTTAGATGTTGTTTGATACCATAATACATTTATAAAGTTTGCAAAATAAATACCTAAAACTATAGAGGCAGGGCTTTCGTTTTGGATATTTTGACAAAGTAATAGAAGCAATTAATTTGACCTTCAGTGTTATTGTGAAACATTGTAACAACACAATAGCAAATCATGACATACCATGTATCTATTATCACATAGTTACATTTATATTGAAAGTCGGTGGCAAATACTTGGATACAACTGACAAACGGAAGTACAGTCAGTAAGTACAAGGTTATGGCAACATTTCAATGTCATGTCCGCCTGGTACAGTGTTTAACAATGAAACTTGCCACTGTGACATTCACCATACTAGGCCCAACACTGGGGAAACTCGATGGTATCACCTTTAATTGTTTTCTCTATTTCTTAACCAGTTTTATTCAAAACACGTTAAACACCCTGATTAAATTAATTTGATAATCGTCATTTGCACATAGGGCACTGTCAATAAATTAGTCCCTTAGTTCTTATGCCTCAATGAATAAGCCAATTTATATTACAACTATCAAAGCATGTTGAGGAGTAGATACCCACACACCTAAAATATACCTTTTTCATCAAATGCATGAACTTAATTTAAGGTAGTCTTACTGTAATGCTTTCTTGTCAAAAATTCTAACATCGGCCAATATCGTAGCAAATCGGTTATTTCCGTTTCGGAAAAAACGGAAAATTATTGCTTCACTTATCGATGATAAAAGTTTTTGGCGGGAAAGCATTACAGCCAAACTACCTTAAATCAATAATTGTAATATATAAATGATATAACATTTTACAGTTTGTCTAAGACGTATAATACTTCATACTTTGTTTCAAAGGTTATAGTATGTGCTAATTAACAGTTGCATTGTCAAACTTGCATCGTTTCTTACTTTGCTATGTTTTAAGTTTTACTGTGAATTCGGAACACAAAGAGAAAAAGAAAATGCTAAGACAACAATTTTATTACACAAATGAAATAAATGAACAAACAAAAACAACATTTACAACAAAATATAGATGTTTCAATAGAAATTAATAAATGGGTTGTTTTTACATTTCATAGGCACTAATATGACATGACACAGCTCGTTTGTATTGCTAGTTTACAGACCTCAATCCTACTGCTTATTTTACATTTTGAGAATGACCAGTGACATGGTAGTAGGAGTCTACGCAGGGACACACGATGTCGAATTGTGGTCAACAGGGCAAAATCGGGTCACAACCATGTTTTCTTCATACATGTATAACACCAATGCTGGTTGAAACCGCGAATTTTATTTGCCATTTTGAAAATTCTTTATCATATACTATCATAAATTTAATTATTTTCCAATGTCATAGAGTTTCACAATTTTAATCCTTACATCTAAATACATTAATCCTTCTTTCATGTGAATAACTTTAACTTAATTTCAATAAGACCTGTTATAGGCAAGACAACCTCCCCCCCCCGTCCTGCAAACTGTGTTAATAGCGAGGAAGAGAGTTCACATATTTCTATCAGAGTTTGGCGGTCGACTACTGGCACCATTTAAAATTTCAGAGTCGGTGAAATTAGTATGGTCGTTAATAATTATGACAATTTCTCTCACGCCACCTAGCACCGGCTTATGTAGATTTCAATCTTTAACAATAAGCGTTTCGATTCAATGATCCCGTATGGTCAAACAGAAAATGAATTTAACTCTAATGTTGGGGCAGAACCGCTTGGAGAACTCTTAATCACAAGATAACAAAAAATATCCTTTGATGTTTTTCCGCCGATATTAACATTTTTCATTAATTATCGAATATTAATCGGTGTGAAGAGACGAATTAGACGTTTTAAAGTTCATTCTCATTGGTGAAATGGCGAAATCATAGCTTTTAATAATTCAAGCGCATTGTCTGGTATGAACGACTTCAGAAGTATACATGAATGAAGTCAGAGTTTAGAATTATCTTGAACGAAGTTAGAGCTTTCATTGGACAGATGAAGGACTATCTAATTCCACAGTGTGGCGACGATAACGATAGTTTCTAAATATATTTGATAGAAACTGTGCACTTAAATATCAAAATTCTCTTCAGTCATTCGCAGACTATGTTAGCATTTAAGTCACAATTACGCATTTTTTCGTCGGCAAACTCCCTTCTAAAAAACGCGCAGCTAGTTCCGATTCTGTCACGAAGCCAAATGAAAGCATCTGTATCCATCTCAGCTAGACCTGGTAAAATAATGGAAACCATTTATAACATACTTATAAAGGAAATATTGAGAAATATTGATGAAATAAAATGCGTATTTTCATTTTCCGTATTTTCACTGTAAAAATTTATTTTTCACTGCAGTGAAACATATTTGCCGTATTTTCACTGGTGTCTTGTCGGACTACTTTCTTTTAAATTCAGCCAGTGCACAAAATATAAGGGACATTTTTTCAAATTGTATTGTGAAAAAAGAAAAAAATGTATATAATAAACAGAAAATTCAAGTTTTTTTCTATAAAAACATGATTTATTTTCATCTTGTGGCATGAAAATTACCATATTTCACTCGTGGATACCGCCACTCATGAACTATTTATTTACATACCACTCGATGAAAGTAAATCATGTATTTATAGAAAAAACTTGAATATCCTCTATTTATTATCTTTATTGTACATGATATCAAATATATTCAAATCTTAAGTCTTCAGGCTAAATACCACAAAAGTATATATTTATTTATAAGAATTCTTAAAATTAATAAAAATATATTTGTTTGTTCTCTTTTTTTGGATTTGTATAAAATGTTGAAATATGTACAATGCATATCTTTCTTTCTTGAGATTCGTTTATAATGATAGCTATGGGCAATCTTAATAAAACGGGCTTATAGAAAGTTTAGTGTATTATGCTTGAATGATGAACATTTAATGTCATTGGTTTCTTTGATTAATTTTGTGAAAAATATAATCAAAAATAAAGTACAAAATGAAACACATAAATATCGTTTAACTCTAACATAATTTCGTTGGTTATCAAAATGTATGAAAGCATAGGTGCTAACATAAAAACAAATGCAATGCGAAAGAGCCCCAAAAAAACATTCAATAATAAAACTTTGCTAATATGTAAAATTCTTTACCTGCGTCGGATTGAAGGTCTAGTTTGTCTTGTTCATTTTCAAGAGTCAGAATATTTTCACCCAGTAAATTGCAGAAGTCGGACGCATTTTGGTGGGTAAGCGGTACATAATATTGAAACTGGTTTTGTATGTGGCGACATCGTTCGCCGGTCATGTAACCAAGGCCACATGGTAGCTAAAAATAGAATAAAGCATGCAAGTCAAATGCAAAAATAAATTTACTGTTAAAAATATGAGTCAGAAAAAGAACAACCTTTTTCAGATGCATTTTTGTCCACTGTGTTCGAGTCAATAATGTTCACCAATCAATAAATGATAATTGTTATCCAAACTTGTCCTTTTCGTCGTATTTTTCATTTGTGCAAATCTTAATGTTATCCCAAGTATGTTTCTTCAGTCTGTTTATGTTTATTATCAACATTATTTCAAGAGGACAAATTAAAATGAAATGGTAATCATATTTGTTTATTATTTTTAAATGTAGATATTGTATACTAGCATGCTTGGCATTGTATCCGGCATAATGTTTGCCAATAAATGTGCTATGCTCTGAATTTCCACCAACATTTTATATATATAATAAAGAAACAATCATTCATTGAAATATCAATCAATCGATCAATCGTTTAAAAACAAACAAAAATCAAACCTTTTCGTACAGTTTCCATCCGGTTTCAGACTGCATGTGGTATTCCCTGGACTTCATTTTCAGGGTATTTATTTCACAAACCTGCGAAACTTTATTAAAGTTGACTGATGTACATGTGTCATCAGATGCGCAGACAAGACAACATTGGCTTACACCAACTTTCAATGGAAAGGGGACACCCTGCACCATTCTTAAATCGGCAGGGAACGCCCGGAAATCAAAGTTGTCTGATACACATTTCGCACGTAAGATGTACAAAGCAAAAATGATATGCTTGAACAGTAATCCCGATATTTCTATTTTTTCAAACATATTGAAAAATATTAAATTAAAAATGCAATGCATTTACAATTACAAATTGTAGTGTAATGAAAATCACAAATAAGAAATGTCCGGGTATTTATTATTTCAAATTGCCAGATATTCACAATCACAAACTGCAAGTGATAATTATTACGGGATGCCTAGAATGGTAAACGTGCGCAAATAATCAAGTATATATATACTTTTTTAACCCGGACACATCCGAGGAGAGACAACTTTCTAATTACTCAATTACTCTTTTTATAACTTGTACAGTTGTTAATAGTACAAATTCAGCGTCCGTTAAATTAAAATCCATTTCAGAGTATTATCAAATCTTCGGAACAGTAGATAGATAATTAATTTAGGGATAGGACCGGTCTGCAACGAGAACAGTTTTCACTAGTGTTTCAAATATTAATTAAACAATTGAAATGCATCATTTGGATATTCCCATATAATGCAACTTAAAAAGAAAAAATGATCATAAAGTTATAAGTGATTCGGAGTGAACATTTATTTGATGAATGTTAGTATGTTTTTTCTAGAACCTTTATTGTTTGCTATGTAAACATCTGTTTTATTGGATCAAGCATCTCACATTTACAAAAAAACGTTCATGAAGTGTTTTTTGTTTCCTCAAAATAAATGCTTTAAATGCAAATTTTAGTTGTATCATATCCTTTTTAAAACAATTGACATTTAAGCACGATTCCCTAAATACAATACGAGTATAGTGGGTTTCAATACTTTGTCGTATCTTATCGCGAACATCTTTGATTTAGAAAATCACTAGCATTAAAATCTTTAATCCTTGACGGAGTTCGCAAAACGGGCCCGGGCTTGAATAATAATAATTATAATAATTAAAATAATATTTAAAATAATAATAATAATAATAATAATAGTAATAATAATAATTAATAATGATAATAACAAAAATAAAAATAATAATAATAATAATAATTATATTATTTATAATGATAATAATAAAAGTTATAATAATTATAAAAATAATAATAGTAATGACAATAATAATAATAATAATGATAATATTAATGATAAATAATAATAATAATTATAATAATAATAATAATAGATAAAAAAAATAAAAATATTATCAAATTAGTTGAAAACTCGCTATTTTAAAATGTTTTTATTCATTATTTCGCAAAAGTACTCATCTTGCTTTATAAAAAACATATCAATGTGTACAAATATGACGCATATGATTTGTTTATAATCGGATATTTCAAGGAACAGACTTAAAGCAGCACGCCTCCAGATTCAGATTTTCATGAAAATTTTGAAAATGTATTTGAATTTATAATATTGTGAAATGACCAAAAGGAAGCAATTTACACATTATCAATGACACTTACAACCAACGTAAATTACCAAAAAGTGGTCAAAATATGCATAAATAGCCCTTACTGCATTAGTAACGCAGTAGAAATATACTTTTAAATCCCGAAAAATCAGTCATTAATCGCACATAACATGTAAAATATTACTTAAATCTTGAATCATTTTACTTTTCCTAAAATCTTTGTACATTTTTCTCAAGTTTGATTTTATTGAAATATTTTGACTCATCTGAAGGCATGCAGCTTGAAACGACTGCGTTCGTTTGTTGGAAGTTTCCATGGACCATAAAAGACAACAATTGTATTACACATAATTACTTTATATCATGATTTGGAATGTTTTCCTGTTCTATTTCATTATACTCAGTACACTTTCAATGAGGATTTGAAAACCATATTGATATATATACAACAGTGCAATTATTTTTCTCATTGATTCATATTTTGTTTGTTTGTTTTGGTTTTACGTCACACCGACACAGAATAGGTCATTCGGCGACGTTTCAGCTTTACTGGTGAAGGAAGACCTCAGGTGCCCTTCCGTGCATTATTTCAGGCATGAATGGGCACCTGAGTAGAATCACCGACGTTCTGTAAGCTAGCTTGATAGTCATTGATTCATATAGGGAAAAAAAGGAAACCAAATTGATATTAAGCAATAGAGTTTTTTTCACACATTGTATATATCAGTGTTTTTTTCATAGAGGTTCCAGTGGGAATGAGATAACGAACATTCCCAACAGCCAGATAATAATAAATAAAATAAAAACAAGTAATTATTGAAATGAAATTTATTCTTATTTATACAACTGTTAAAATTGAAAGGTACATGTCTTGAATGAAGTACATGTATAAATTATTTCCATTGAAAAAAAACAGGAAAAAAAAAGAAGAAAAGAAACACATTTTAAATCCTGATTAAACATTAATTTCTCTAACATAAGATGTCCGTATGAACTAAATAGTCTTTTATATCGTTTTATTCTTTTTTTGTAATGACAGCGAAAATAACTGCCTTACTATATTGTTATCGCTGTGAGAAAGCTTTCGACAGCATGCGACAACCTGGTTTTTGTTCATATTATCTGAAATTTCCATTTCAAACAAAATTGGTAGGGCACTAGGTACAGAAGCGCACATAATCTTTTTATTTTGCTTATTTCTGTCACGAAGCAAAAATGAAATTGCAATAAGACAGTTATAATACATGAAATTCATTAGTTACGGAGATATTTCACTGGCTGGGGCGACATCTCGGAATGTTTCTGCAAAAAATTGACTCAGGCTTACGGCCTCGCATTTGTTTTAGAAGAAACTTCCCTCGATGTCGTCCCAGCCAGTGTTTTCTCCCCGTAACTCATTCGTTTCATACTAAATAACTTTAACATAATGTTTACAAAGTCAGTGAAAGCAACATAAGAATTAAGTTTTTACATTACAATTTACATAATTAGCTCGGGTCGCAAAATATTCAATCTTGTAGCGTGTACACATTACATTTTTGCATGCACTGTTACGGTAGATTCTTCAGATATTTTCCCGAGAATTTAACTTATTTACGTACAAAACTCATACGGACGTTTTGCTGATTACTAATAACCCTCTAGGAAGCTATACGGATTAGAAGTATTTTTACCGTACGAAGACTTTATACGAAGTTTTACATATTGTTAAGTATTCCTTTGCCGTCTTTAAGGCAATAGTTTTGGTGATATTATGTGAGCAAGATATGTGTGACAATTAAAATATACCCATTGACATGCACATTTTAATCAAATATGAAATAACGTCATCAATAATGTCATTACTATAGGCATTCGGTTTGTAGGAAAAATATTAATAAGAAAATGCGTTCCGTACGTTTTACCTCTTGAAATATCTTAAATTCGTTCATCTAAGTGTACTTGTTGGCTTGGTAGCTCTGTATATTTATAATTTTATAAATTTTGACAATATTTCCCGAAATGTCAGGAAATTGCCCGAAAAATTGCAAACCCATCAATATATTTATTGGGGCAGACATGCAATTATTGTTATTATATATATATAAACATATGTATGATCGCCTCGTTTTAATTATAAAACAAACAATTCTAGAATGAATATATTATTTCTGTTATTTTTTGCGAAAGTTTATTTTAGACTGTGCTTTGAAATGAAAGCGAAAGACCTTTTCTAAAGTTGTGTATTTCAAGGGCGGACAAAATAAAATCTGCTTAATTCAGAGGGATTTCATGTCAATTTGTTACTTTCATTGGTTAATAAGAAAGATGACTTATTGTAAAAGACAAATATCAATTGTTGACAGATGAGTAAACATCAAGAGGCGACTAGGAGTTTCGAAAACATGGAATTTATTTAAAGTCTTAAAGCAGTCAAACGAACGCTGGGTGTTTACTTATCATTTGGACTGGTGACTGTCATTGGTTTTACACAATTAAATTCAATTATTGATCGTAGGATACTAAAATATACCCACATATCACCAAGAGCAGTTCTGAAGCGTATTTTTCAGACTGTTAAAACGAAATACAAAACAAATGAGACTGTAATTGCCGATTAGTAAATTGAACGAAATTAAGAATTGAAGTAATTTTCATCGTTTTATGAAGTGTGAATTTCAGTTATTTCAGCTTATCTTTGTTCTAAACAACTCGGAAAAGGTCGAAAGTTTGACGAATGTTTAAGCAAACAATCAATTGCGTTACATGTACCACATGGAGAAAATCTTTAAAAAGAAGTGGATAACTTTAACTGTGAAATTATCAAATATAATTTTCAGTGATACACTTAAAAGCATAAGCAATATAGTACGTTTGTAATAATCAATCATGTTATATAAACTTTATGTTGAATTCCGCACACAATATAACAAATTTAGAACTATCCTCGATAAATAAAGATCTATACATGAACGAATTTAAAACTATTCTTCGACGAAATTGGGACTATCCTTGAAGGCAGACTTTTGGAAGAGAAAGGTCAATATCAGTTTCAGGATGACACAATAATCAATAGTGTACAAATACCACTGTGTCAAACATGCACGTCCGATATAATGCAGATAGAGACTGTTATCTTCTATATCAAGGTCGTTGGCAGACTATGGCGGCATTTGAGTTACAATCAATCATTATTAAATCATCAAACTTTCTCCTATAACAATAACAGTTAGATCCTACGCTGCCACGAAGCCAAATCCTAGCATCCATATTCATACCAGCTAAACCTGGAAACAATTACATGAATTAATTTGTTTTATTGTATAATGATTACACAGAAGTTCATATATAAGGCTGAATATCACTTAATTCAATAAACGCTTGATGATTTTATAAATTATGAACTAAAATAAAGCGAAATATTAATATCTTTCGTTATGTTATGTGTTAAGATGTTTCACCGTATTCACTGTATCTCTACAATGGACTTAAAAATCATTACCTGCATCAGCCTCAAGATCTCTTCTGTCTTGACTATTTCCCAGCGCCACCAGGTTTTCACCAAGTGAATGACAAAAGTCGTACGCTTCCTGACGTGTTCTGATTTTGTCAGGTTGAAACAAGTTTTGAATATGACGACATCGTTTGCCGCTCATATAGCCAATGCCGCACGGTAGCTAATAAAAATGAAATTAAAATGTTGAAAGAGATTCGTGAACCGGAACTTTGATTGTGTGCAATTGTTAAATGTAAAGAAAACAGTAAAAAAACAATTTTTTCTTATCTTTCTTGGGAAAATATTGTATAATTTTAACAGTTTTTTTTACTGTGAATGACACGATAATTTCATTTTAATTTTCACCGATGGTAGATCGGACTTTGATATCCACATCTTGTTTCTATATTTTTTTATGCAAGGTAAGATATAACTTGAAAGCTGGTTTTACACCCATAAATGCAATCACTATTTTAATAACTACATTAACTAAATACGTGATTTAAAAGAACAAATTCATTACATTGGGACAATGCCTGCAACAAGGAAACTGCCATTATGGTCATTATTTGAATGCTTGAGTGAAAAAATATATACACGAAAAAATGAATATATAAAAGAAAGAAAGAAAGAAAGATAGAAAGAAAGATAGATAGAAATAAATTTAATAAATAAATAAAGAAAGAAAGAAAGAAAGAAAGAAGAAAAGAAAAAGATAGAATGAATGAATAAATGAATGAATGAATGAATGGAATGAATGAATGAATGAATGAATGGAATGAATGAATGAACGAACAACGAATGGATAGGATGGCCGGCGTATGGACGGATAGGCAGAAAAACGGGCTTGCAGGTAGTCAGTCATAATTATATATTGTTTTACATTTAATAAATAATAACATACAAACCTTTTCATACAACTTCCATCCTGAATAAGGTTGCACACGAAATTTCAGAGACTTCATTTTCAGGGTATTTATTTCACAAACTTTAGAAACTTTATTAAAGTTTACGGATGTACATGTGTCATTATATGAGCAGACGAGACAACATTCTTTTATATATCAACTACCGATGGATAAGCGTCTCCCTGCTTCATCCTCAATTCGATAGGGAACGCCCGGAAATTTACAGAGTTTGGCTGCTGCACATTTTGCGTTTAAGATACACAGAGCAAAACTATATGCGCTAAGGCATTTTCTGCAATTGCCATTTTTATACAACAAAATGAAGTATTTATAATTCCAATTTGCCACCTATATTTACAATCACCAAAATGTCATCTTTATTATGATCACATTCAAGAAAGACATTTATCAAATAGGTTATAATCTAATCTTGAAAAAAAAAAAACACAATAAAAACAAGCTGAAGACACTTTGAAAATAAATATTTTTTCTTCCCTATCAATAACCTCTAAATTTTAATTGAATAGTTGTTCATATAGAACAACACCCGTTGCCTGTTAAACCTTAAATTGCGTCGGTAAAATAAATTTATTGTCAAATTGATATAGCATTGTTATTCAACTAAATCAACTGAATAATTAAATGGCTTTGAAACAAAAAAAATCTTTAAATAAGTGATGAAGACACTGTTTATTAATGAGGTACTCACTATTGGAAAAGTTTGTCATTTATAATGCAGTGACCTGTACTGATGTTTTGATTTATCAAAGCAGTCAGTAGTTTCAGCGCACAACATGAAATGGTATTAATATCAATTATACAGAAGCACTATTATTTGTAGTTTCCACTGAGTTGTAAAAAGGATAAGTGTTTAACATGCAGCATAAAACACAATCGAACACGCGCGCGCGCACGCATGCACACATACACATTACATATACACACGGAAATATAAAATTAAAAAATGAATAAATAATCCAAAAACAAACATCACAACATACAATCCATACCTATTTTTAGAATTACTTTTATGTATATGTCAAAGATGGTGAAGGTAATAATTGGGCAACTGTCTGAAAGTGCAAATCAAATCAATATGAACGCACTTGATAAACGACTACCTAAGAATGCTACAGACAAAATTTGGTGATCAACAATCCATTAGTTCTGTAGAAGGAGACGTTGAAAGATATTTCTATTTTAAGCTTTAGTGGCCCCTAAAAGAACCAATCAAATTAATATAAACAAACTTGATTAATGACTACCAAAGAATGCTTCAGAAAAACATTGGTGATCATCTATCAATTATTTTAGTAGGAAATGATGTTCAAATATTTTTTTCTATTTTTAGCTCTGGCGGCCCATTAAAGGGGCCAGTCAAATTAATATGAGCAAACTTGATATAACAGACACATAAAAATGCTACAGACAAAATTTGGTGATCATCCATCAATTAGTTTTTTAGCAGTTGACGTTTAAAGATATTTCTATATTTAGCTTTAGCGGTCCCTACAAGGGGCCAATCAAATTAATATATGCAAACGTGATAAAAGACTACATAAGAATGCTACAGACAAAGTTTGATGATCATCTATCAATTATTTCAGTAGGAAATGATGTACAATGTTTTTTATATATGTTTTTAGCTTTAGCAGCCCCTAAAAATGGCTAATTATATAAGTATGAGCAAACGTGATAAAAAACTACCTACACAGTTTTCTGTTGATACCTCTAACGGTTTAATAGCTATGTTCCTGACAATGTTTAATTTAAAAGAGAAAAAATGGACAAAGGACAATAACTCCAAAACAAGGTTAGACACGGTTCTTTCTCACTACACTTCTACCTAATGAAATCTATTCACCTGCAAAGTTACAGTCTGATATCTCTTATACTTTCAGAGCTTTGTCCTGGATAATGTTTAAAATGTAGACATGAAAAAAGGCAATAACTCTAAAATTAAGCAAGGCTGAGTTCCAGTTGTTTTGCTCTGCACTTTTTCTTCATTAGATCTACCCATCTACAAGGTTCACGTTGACACCTCTTATGGTTCAAGAGTTATGTCCCAGACAAAATTCAAAGTGTAAAAAATAAACTAAGGGCTATAACTCTAAAATAAGACAATGCAGAGTTACGTTTCTTACGCACTGCACTTTGTTCTAAATGAGATCTATCGGCCTACAAAGTTTCCGGATTATATCTCATACAGTTTCAGAGTTTTTGGACAAAGTTCAAAGTTTAAAAATGAATAAAGGACAATAACTCCAAAATTGGACAAGGCAGAATACGGTTCTTGTGCAATGCACATCCACCCAATGCAATCTATTTATGTACAAAGTTTCATGTTGATACCTCTTGTGTATTTTTTCGATCCAGAGTTATGTCCCTGACAAGAAGAATGACAAGAAGAATGGACAGACGGTCGGTCGGAGAAAAGTGGCGACTATATGTTCACCCTTCGGTGTCTCGTGAATTTTTTAGGAATATTTCTATAAATAATATAAAAAAAGAACTAAACGCAGGTCCAATAAAAGACCATGCCATGCGTTAATCTGTTAGTCTCATTGACAATGTAGTTTGGTAAGGGCTTTGTGCCTTGTATAACTGTAAATGAGACCCGCTTAACTTGTTCAAAATCGAATACGCTCAGAATCACGCAAATATTTACAGTTTACTCGAGATTTTGGCGTGTTTTAACATGGATATATACAGTTTATATACAGAAATACAAATCGGTCGTCAACCTCCAACCACCGCCCCCCCCCCCAAAAAAAAAAAAAAATAAATAAATAAAAAACGACCATGCCACGTGGACAATCTCTTGGACTATTTGCTTGGGTTATAGTTTTGGGAAATATAATATACCACCTGTAAAGAAGACATTCCAAACTTGTGCAAAATCGAATCGGCATTGGAATCGGACTATCAGGAATCGCTCAAGAATATGGTAGAATATGGTATTAATTTTTCATACGCGCAGTCTGATCAGGATCCATGCTGTTCGCTTACCAACTCTGTTACAAGTGGAGAAACTGACAGCGAATATAATATACACGTGTCGTCTATAGCAAGGCAAGCAGCGGCCCCATGATTTGACTTCCCCGTATAAAATGAAAAGTTCTATATATGCAGATTGGTTTACACATATTTCATTCGAATTATTTACATTATAACAAACAATATTCACACAATGCATTTTGGGATTTGGGAAAAAGTTATGAAAGCATATATTATGAGTGTCCTGTCCCAGTTTTTAGTCCATTTCCGATCCTATTTCACTTTTATAACAAAACGTGGCAATTACATGTAACTGTTGTTGCAATTTGGAAACAGTCTTTTCACCGTTTGATACATAATCAGTAAATATAAGACACAATATAACAAATATATCATAATTAATAAATATTCCTGTGCCACAATTTCTTCTTAGTTAGATTATTCATTAATAAAAAAGAATAAAATAGTCGAACTAGAATTTTCGCCCTGTCATGTTTCAAATATTACAAAATACAATTGCGGTACGTATACTACATAGACAAAATCTTTAAAAATAGTCTCTTCATTGTAAAAATATGACACTATATTTTGACTTTAACTGTGAAATTATCATAAATAATTTTCAGCGATACACTTAAAAGCATAAACAATTAGAGTACGTTTTCAATTATTGATCATGTTAAATAATAATGTTAATAATGTTAATAAATAAATATCCTTGAAGGAATTTTTAACTATCCCTCGACAAAATTTAGGCAGTCTTTTGAAAAATGTTAATATCGATTTCAACGATGACACAAGAGTCAACTGTGTACAAATACGGCTGTGTCAAACAAACATGTGTTCCATAATGCAGACAAAAACTGTTCTCTTCTTTGTCAAGGTCGTTCGCAGACTATGGCGGCGTTTAAGTTACAATCACGCATTATTGTATCAGCGAACTGTCTCCTAAAACAACTGCACTCAGTTCCTATGCTGGTACCAAGCCAAATGTAAGCATTTATATACATATCAGCTAAACCTGGAAACAATTACATAAATTAAATCTATATTTGTATAATGATAACAAAGAAGTTCATATATAAGATTGAACATCTCTAAATTCAATAAGCATTTGACGATTTTAGAAATTATAAAACAAAATGAAGCGAAATATTTAAATCTTTCGAATCCTAATCTTTGAACTTAACATTCAAAACTTTAGTACATATCTAACAGTGTATAACCGTAAATAAAATTGGGTCCTAAAGATAAAGCTGTATGCCTCAATGCGTGCAAAGGATTCAGATAAATTTAAACTTGAGAAAAATACACTAAACAGAATAGAAAAGATTAAAGATTCAATTTATAAAAAATTGAAATGTACAACACATGACCTTTTCTGCAGTATTTGTCACCATGTTACTACTGCGTTGTTAGTTTTGCATATTTTCACCTCCGTCTTGCAATTAATATACAGTTCTAATTTCGTTTGCTATTTGTAAATTACTTTTTTGTTCATTTCAAAAAAGTTTACTTTTGCATACATTTTTATATTCTTTTTATGAAAACTAAACGATTTTAAGTAACTGATTACTTTGAACAACCAGTTATTGATTTTTTGATAACTTGAATAAAATTAAAAATGCTTAGTATAAAATTAAAGTAAGTACACAATAGTAAGTGAAGTAATGTGGACGTAGGTATAGCACATAAATGAGGAGATCAGATGAAATAGCTGGTAATTTTTTATTTGAATTTTTTTGCACCAAAAGTATCTTTCGGTATTCCATGCACTGCTTTCGTTTTTAATAGGACTTGTCGGAGATTACGCTGAAGTCGAAAAGTTACCATTGGACTTTTATCGGACTACTCTTTTGTTTCTCATTGAGTTACATTTAAAGGTGCAGCGCACAACAGAAATTAATACTGACAATTTCATTCACAGTAATAAGATGCAATCTTTTTATTTTTTATTTCATTTTGAATAGACACGTGTAGTCTATAGCTGGGTAAATGATCAAAGGATGATGTATAGTAAAACAGAATAAAATGCCTTATACCCTTACAAAATAATATCAAATTAGACGAAGCCTTTAAACTGGAAAGTCGGTTAAAATAATCCTTTATTTTTTTACATTTTTAAGTTTTTAAAGTGTCATTCGTTAGTTTATGCATAGTTTTTTGTTTCACCCGAAGTACTTATTTGTTATTATTAATCTAACAAGTTGAGATCGTACCCTTTTCGGAATACCCCGCCTATTAACGTTGAGTTACCTTGAAATTGGCGGCGTCGCACTAAATTTTACACTGAAAATTTCATTTCAAGGTAAAGAATTTTATAATTTCTTTTATTGTTTATTTGATTTCCTTTAAAAATATACACGAGTAGTCTATAGCCGGTAAGCCAAAGCCGAGCCGCCAAAACCTCCCCGTATTAAGATATTTCGGCGAATTTACTTTATCTCAATTACATTTGACTTGAAATTCATTACCTGCATCAGTCTCCAGATCATTTCTATCTTGCTCATGTTCAAGCGTAACCAGGTTGTCACCCAATAAATGACAAAAGTCCGACGCTTCTTTGTGTGTTCTGATTTCGTCATGTTGAAAAAAGTTCTGAATATGACGACAACGTTTGCTGCTCATATAACCAATGCCGCATGGTAGCTAAAAAATGAAAAAAAAGAGATTCGTGAACATAAACTTTGATTGTGTGAAATAATTAAGACTTAAAACAAAAATAAGCAAAAAATATAATAAATAAATTTCAAAAAACATGTGAAAAATAATCCACACTTTTAAATTGTTCAGGAATAGAAAACAAGTTTCATTTAATCTGGTTAATGTTTTGAATACAACGATAATCTGTTTTTGTTTGTTTACTAAAAATAGTTACAAGGTATCATACTCATAAACATAATCACTATTGTATCTAAAAAAAACGCATTCAATATTTTTTCAAAAAAAAAAGCAATCACTAGTTATAGATATAAAAAAAATGTATCGACGCTTCAGATTTCAGCATATCGTTCATAGTGAAATCATTTAACATTATGTATGATTCAGGTGTCTATCCTGATTCTTGGACCAAGGGGATAATTTTAGCCATTTACAAAAACGTTATTCATCCGAACTTCGTAATTACAGGGGTATTAATCTTCTAAATAGCATGGCTAACCTTTTTTCTTTTGTTTTAAGAAACAGAATAAACATTTGTTGCGAGCCAGAAGATATATTTTGTGAAAATTAGTTTAATGTCAGGGATAAAAATTGTATAATTTTATTACATTGTATTATCCGAAAAGTGTTACATGATAAAATGGTATTGTGCTTTTATAGACTACGAAAAAGTCTTCGATACAGTTAACAGAGGATCATTATTTGTTAAATCGATAAGAGAAGGAATTAACAGTAACACGATGGACATGATAAAAATAAAGTATGAAAAGGTTTCGTCATGTGTTAAAATGCTTGTACATGTTCAGAATTGTTCGATATATCTATTGGATTGAAACAAGGAGAGCCACTTTCACCGCTAATGTGTATACTCTTCATAAATAATTCATGTTCAAATATTGACCTTAATAGTTGATCAGATTATGATCTTTACCAATTATGTGTATTTATGTTGCTTTTTGCTGATAATATGGTTGAATTTTCTACCGATCCTAATATTTTAAAGACTCACCTAAACTGTGTATATCAATTTGCGAAACAATGGGGTCTAAAGATCAATACAAAGAAACCAAAACTTTTATTTATGACAGAAAGTAAATCTCGAGGGCAAAGACAATCTTACATTGATTATAATGTTATTGATATTGAAGACAGTTTTTGTTACCTAGAAGTGACTTTTTTTCAAATGGTAACATTGCTTAAAGAGCTATGATTATTTCTGATTAGGCTTTAAAGGCTATGTATAATTTGTTTAGTCTTTTTACAAGTATACATGTCGAAATAATAACGAACCTTAAACTGTTTCCCTAGTTGCACCAATTTGGAATATATTTACCAAAAGAGATTGATAAGATTCACATAAAATGTTACATAACCCTATTAGGTGTAAAATCGCAGAGTCCAAACTACGCTGTTTTAGGTGAATTAGGGAGATTCTCGTATCAGTTACATGTGTTTGCCAAAAAAAATATCTAAAATATTAAACTTAATTAAAATCAAATTCAGATTCATTAATGTATTTAAGTTATTTTCTTCTGAGTGTAAAAGTAATAATGATGGCAATCTCTCAGACTTTAAAAAAGCTATTGCATTATTTTGGTTTAAAGGATATATGGGATAATTCTAACAAAGATGTAAACTATATTCTTCCTTTGTCAAAAAAATTAAACAGATCAATGTATCCAACATAGGCACACTTCAATCAATAATTTGCCGAAATTATCTTATTATGTTCCATTCAAAACTGTATTTGAATCAGAGGAATATCTTAATAAAATAAAAAGTGATGCATTAGTGAAACTGTTTGCATCCTTTAGGTTAATCAGTCATAATCTAGCTATAGAAACCTGTCGCTCTCGAGGTATATATAGACATGATATAATATGTGAACATTGTACAATGCATGTTGTTGAAAGTGAATACCATTTTCATTTAATCTGTATACATCATTCCGAACTTCGCAAGAAATATTTCCCAAACATATCAATCTTTATCTTATTTTTATAGTTTAATGTCAAGTAGAAAACAATCAACTTTACCGAATGTATCAAAATTATTAAATGAAGCATTATTTAAAAGAAATGAAATTAATATGTTAGTTAATGCATGTCATATTCTTTCCTGTTTCTCTACACCAGCTTAACAATGATGTAATCGTTATGTAACAATTATATGTCATGTGATACATGTGTGATTTGTATATATTGTAGTTTGTCAACCTTTGCCAAAAGTATTTTGTTTGCTGAAAATTGCAAACAAAATATCGACATTGAATATAAACGCAATAAATATTGTAACTTTTGTAGCTCAATGTAACAAACAAACAAATAAACAAATGACCAAACAAATAAACAAATGACCAAACAAATATTAGATAAACCAAAGGTTGAAGGGGGCGTTTTGGTGGACAAGCAAACGAACGGACCAGCAGGAAGGCAGACAGAATAATATATATAGATTTATTAATTATAACATACAAACCTTTTCATACAGTTTCCATCCTGAGCTAGGTTGCACACGATATTCCAGGGACTTCATTTTCAGGGTATTTATTTCACAAATTTGAGAAATGTAATTATAGTTCACTGATGTACATGTGTCATTATTTGCACAGACGCGACAACATTGGTTAATATCAGTTTTCAACGGAAAGGCGATCCCCTGCATCATTCTCAGTTCGATAGGGAACGCCCGGAAACCGACAAAGTCGGCTGCTGCACATTTTGCGTGTAAGATGCACAGACCAATAACCATATGCACGTAAAGCGTTTCTGCAATTGTCATTTTATTGATGAAGAAGTTACAATCCAAATTTGCCAGCTATTTACAATCACAAAATGTCATCTTGATAATGATATCACATCCAATAAAGAAACTTATCAAATAAATTATACCCTTGACAAACCCAAGCAGAAAAAAACTTTGAAATCTATTTTTTTTCTTACCAATAATTCTCATTTATAACTTGAATCGTTGTTCATATAAAACACCATCTATTGCCTGTTAAACCATAAACCATAGCGTCGGTAACGATTTTTCCCTTGATTATAAAATTGATATAACCTGGCTATTCAAATAAAGTGGCTTAGAATTACTTGAACCAAAAAATTAAAAATTTGAATAATTAATGATGACACTGTTTAATAATGAGGGAATCACTTCTTGAATAGTCTGTCATTTGCGATTTAATCCCGTTTATTGATATTTCGATTGATTGAATGTCAGATCGTTCAGTTGTATGTAGAATATTGTGCTTTTTTCCGAAAGTGTCTAAAGGTTATAGAATACATCGGTCGTCGGAGAAACGACCATGCCACGCGGAAGTCTCCTGGACATATTTTTATGATTTTTTTTCCATTTTATTAAATGTTTTTAAATGTAAGCGTATAATATACAAAATAAAAAAAAGTGGCTGTAATATTCAAGACCTATGATTGGTACATATGTATCAACATAAAATGTATCTTTGTCAATGTTACAAAAATTGTATATGTAATGTACTGGTGGCCTAAATCAATAAATTGTGTTCTGCTCCTTTAATAACAGGACCGTAAATATCTCGGGTAGAACATCACTAAATTGATTATTCAATTAGTACAGTTATAATGAAGTAGTGAAAACATAGCGGACTTGACCCTTGCACAAATGTAGTTCCGTATAAGAAGATGAACTCCACATGATGGTGTTATTTTGAGCATTTTCGTTTTATTATTTTGACAATATATTCGGTTTGTTGTGGTTATTATATGCATTCCTAATAAAAAATTCGACCGTGAACATTCTCCATATAAAAGTTTGACTTATTGTCCTGGAATGACTTTTAGAATTGCTAGGTCACAACAACAACAACAGGCAAAGTGTCATTTGTAACTTTATTATTCACGACTTCGAACAATATGCATATAAGATCATAATATAAGTATTATGAATGTGTAAAATAAGTGCCGACTAACCATGGCAGGTTTATAGGTAAAATATCAGAAAACAATTAAGTTCCAATCAATCTTAAGATTTCATAACTGCATAGTTTAAAACATATTGCGATACTAAAAGAAAAGAATAGTTTTGTTATCTTCATATAAATGTAGTATTTTAAGATCAAAATATACTTTTTTGAATAAATTTGCATGAATGATAAATAACTCACGTGACCAAGTGCATTTCTATAAATATCTATCAGAACTTACCTACAAGTTTCAATTTATAAAAAGGCGGGGCAGTATATTTATATTTCAGACAGATTTATTTTTAAATCCTAAACATTTTTCAATAACAAAAATTTGTCAACCAATATTATAACAGTCAACATTTTATAATATATTATCAATTAAACTCGACATGGCAATTGAAAAAAGCAATATGTCAATTTAATAAAATACCAGAATAAGTCGCTGAAACCATATTGGAAGAAATGAAATAAAATAATGTACCGGCGTCGGACAAAAAAAAATCTGTTTCGCATTGCTCATTTTCAACTGTATGAAATCAGAAGTCCGAAGCCACCTGGTATGTTATTATCTTGTCGTATTGAACTTGGTTTTGAATGTGACAACAACGTTTGCTGGGCATGTACCCAAGGCCACAGGGTAGCTAGATATAGAATAATAAAACATATTTTCAAAAGAAAACGACGGTATCAATTTTTAGATAGTAAGATTTCATAAAGCAGCAATTATTATTGAATGCATTTGTCAGAAAAATAAATAACAGCTACAAAAAATAAATGAATAATGGCGGACTTACTTACATAAAGGAACAAAATGTTAAAATTACATGAAATACTTGAATGAAGAAATTAAATGAAGGAAAATATTAAATAGAGGAATTGAATGAAATAATTTGAAAATTGATAAATGTCTTTTATTTACAAAACGGATGCATAAATGAATAAAAAATGCATTGGGGATTTTTGTTTGCATTTACATAGAATAAGAAACCAACAAAACTGTTCGTTGATTTTCCATCCTTTACTTGGCTGCTATCGATATTCCCTGGACTTTATTTTCATTGGATTTATTTCACAAACTTTAGAAACTTCAATAAAGTTTACAGATGTACATTAAAAAATATTTTCACGGAAGAGACAGCATTGTTCCGAAGTAACTTTCAAAGAATAGGGGTCCCCCTCTTCCATTCTTACTCCTGCAGCGAACATTCGGGAACCATCAAAGTTGACCAGTGAGCTTCTTGTGTGTAAGAAGCACACATTGAAAATGATATGCTTGTAAAAAAATCCTTATATTTGTCATTTCTTTAGAAAGTTTTTTTTTTAAATCACACCGTGTTTTCATTAAAATATAACATACAGTTTAGATAAAATCACATTTTTATCATGATATGTTCTGATAGACAAAAAGTAAAGTCAACTTGAAATAATATGATCTCAATAAGGATCGACTTCTAAAAATAAACATACATAAAATATTCAGCTTTTGTTAAAAGGAATATGTTAGCTTTACGAAAATATCGTTTTCACGTCCCCGAGATAATTGTCATTGTTAAAAAAAAAACAAAAACAAAAACATCACGTTCTGTAAAGGAACATTTTGCCTCGGTAAAAAACACAAATCTTTTACTTCAATCTTTAGAAGTGGCATACAATGTACATTGATTATACAATGATTAGATAATGGTTGGTTTTAGAGAATATTAGATGCTTGTTATCTGATGAAAATAGAATAACTGTGAAATAATTTGTAATAAAAGAAAATCAAAAGTAAGCAAAGTAGTGTTTTGCCTTCCATACCAACTACTTATTCATTTTATCTGTACTTATTTTCAAAACGCAACAGATGGAGAAAAAAGACTAAAACGTACGCAAGAGATAATCTTCACATCCTTAGTGAGGAAATTATGAGTACCGTATAACTTGATTTCTTGTTAATGATTTGAAGACATTATCTGACAAATTAGAAACTTGCCAGAGAACTTGGGCAACCCCCCTTTTTTTTGGTTAATTAGGATTATCTAAGTTGGTTCCTCATAGCTAAGATATACTAAATCTGATAACCCTTGAGAGAAAAGGCTTAATTTAATGTTAACATTGATCTTGAAAAAGATACTTGCTCGAGAAGACACTTGGGCTAGAGTGAAATGTAGACAGAGACTGTTTCGTTTTTTTATGTCAATAAGACAAAGGGTGTTCATGTACACGCGGTTTCTTAAAGTAATACATTTAGTTCCAATAGAATTTGTCGCATCGGTTACACTGATACCAAATATAGTACTACATAATGCTTGCAGACACAATTTGTCTAGAAGTAATAGCGCATTATAAATGACAGATCTTTACTGTTTAGCAATGCATTGATAACACTCATTCAGATAATAAAAACTTGAAATCAAATCCATTAACCTAGTCGTATGAAATACTTACTTTGGTTGAAAGCATCATTGTGTATATCATGATTTTTAAATTCTTTCTCTACGTAAACTGATACCGTCAATAAATCAGTTCACTGTGTTCTTACGTATCTACCAACACAACTAGTTGAATTAAGCGACTACAAATCAGAAACAACAAATTGATTATGGTATATACTATAAGTATAAGGCATGCATGCAAGTCGGTTTAACCCAGTCAGGGATAAGTCGATGATAGCTTCAGCGAGAAAGTTTAAAATTATTGTTAAGTACAAGTTGGTTCTAGGAATGCATAAATGGATTGTCAATAAGCTTATAGATTTGTATAGAGTGTAACTGGGATTAACTATGTGTAAACTAAAGACCGAGTAACAAAGGGTTCATCCGACAATACCTGTCATTACCGGGATCCACGTACTACTAAGAAGCTTGAAGGATTTAAACAGTTATAAATCAAATTGCAAACAAATATTTTGTTACTCATTTCAAAGCCAAAATATATGATTACAAACATTCTTCTAAAAAAATCTTTTACTTATAAACGGAGCATTGATGAACGTATATCTTGTTATAGCAATTAGCGATGTGTGAGTTCCATTATCTCTTTAAATTGTTTGTTTTTTACATGTAAGCGCATACAACTTTGTAAGCAAAGAAATCAAAACAAGCTAACACTTAAAAGCTTATGAGGAGTAAAAGTAATGGTATCTTGGAACAACTTGCTTTTTGTAGATACTACCTTTTAACCAGTAAGAAAAACATAGTTCTACATGAGTTTAAATTACATTTAAATGTAACATTGCTTGTTAAACTCAAACTCAGATCCCACGTATTTATTTATCTGGTTAAAGCTATCACAGAATGTGCACTGACGAATGAAATCATGAAATTTGAGACGAAAATCAGAAAAAGGTTTTACAACCTTAAGGCCAGTATTCGTGGATTTATAATTTATATTTCGTTAATCATAATTAATAGAAATTGTGTAACAGGGTCTATTATTAAGGTGTCTTTATATATTGTTGATTGCTAGAGTAACTTCCCTTGCTTTCCCGCTATTTGATCATGTGACGATTTTGTCTTTGTTGAAGCGGCTGTGTTGGTGAAAAGGTTCAGATATTTGTTTCTGTTATTAATTTCTTGGAAATATGGAATATTGATTGTTGAATGTACAGCTTGGAAAAAGTATGTGTGTTTTTGGTGAAGGATATGTATACAATTGTACATTCAGTTCCACAAACTGAATGTTGATTTTAAATTCATCGGATTTATAACCATGTAGGAATATTTAAACATGAAGATGAAGAGATGAACTGTAAGAGTTTAAATAAAATAGAGATGAACTGTACACATATGTGTTTATATAGAAATAAACACATATTTTATCAATATGTGAACGCTGGCAATATATAAAGATGAAATAGAACCCAATTCTCGACTATTATAAGAACTTGATCTAGACCACTACTTTCAACTAAATGGCACCAAATGGGGGACGGATTCAACAGATCAAGACGTGAATATTCTTGGAACTTTTACAGATTAAGAGCTTACTTCTTGGATGTTGTAATTTTTGTAATTAAATTGAAATATACTGAGTAACTGACAAGAATGGATTTTTATCAAAATTTCTAAATTTGGAATTATTACAAATAAACATTCATTGGGTTAGAAATTGCTGCCGGGTTACGAGCTATTTGACTGTTTGAGAAAACAGCGCAACATATTTTTTTCTTCAATCAAAAATAATTCGGCAATGACATGGAGCTAGGTATCATAAGATCAACTGTCAAACTGCGAAAGACAGATCACAAACATCAAATTTACAGGGACGGGTCGTTTTCATCCAAATACCAAAAAATCTTGACATGGAAAGATGAATTCAAAGGATTGTAAACTGTGTAGTTATCATTTTTAGAT